CAGTCCTCGTCCAGCTGCTTCAGCGTGTCTTGGCCTTGGCCGTTGGAGCTAAAATGTAAGACGTACTGGTGCAAAGGCTGTGCTTGGGCTTGAAGAGGATTAGGACCAGTAGTGGAAATTGCATATAGGCCGCTATCCACATTCATTCACACGCTCCTTCACAGGATGGGGCTTGAATTTAGTGAAGACTGGGTTCAAGAGGCTCAAGGCTTCGGTAACGAGAGGATCTTTGTATCCCAGCCCCACGTTAAAAAATAATTTATCATGACACAGCAACACTCGATTTCTTAGGGGTAGTTTGTCAAAGCCCGTTTATCCTGTCACTATTCAGACATCAACCAGGCCATCATACACTCGTACAGGATGAATGTCAACAAACATCAAACTTTTCTGGGCTTCTCTCACAAAGCTCTTGGCTATAGTTTAGATGTCAATAGAAAACTGATAAACCCAACACCCAAAATCAGTTTGGCCCTATTATAATCAAATGATATTCATGCATAGGATTCTTGTTTTTTTTTTTTGGGGGGGGGNNGTTTGGGCCCGGTGTCATCTAGCGCATCATGTAGTTTGACCCTAAACCTTGCTAATCCATACCCCGGGGCCAGCCGACTACAGCTTTGAGGCTGCCAGCAAAATGCCCGCAGCTCCTAAGAAGTTGCAGCTGCATCGCAACAAAACAGAAAGGCTGCCAAGCAACAGAAGTGTTCATCCTCGATCCCAGATCCCCACATCTTAAACTCCTGACCATCCCCACGCAGCCACACGCACAATTGGTTTGTGCTTGCTGCAAGAGTTTCTTCATGTCATCTATGTATGCAAAACACGCCCTCAGCCTTAGGCTGTAAACCCGCAGGGCTTGTCTGTGACCCCTTCTTTAAGCACATTGCAATGTACACTGTTCCGCTTATACCATAACATGCCAACACAAACGATGTGGCTGCCTGCCTAAATCCTTGTTTCCACGGGGAAATAGCTATGGCCGGTAATGCTAGACTTTGCAGCATTGCATTCCTGTCAGACGGTAGCAGGGGACCTTGTGTTTTGGGATGCCCTCAAAGGTAATCACATAATCAGGAACCGAGAGAGACTAAAACATTATCCAAGGACACTGCAAGTTTAGGGAACAGCCCTAAACCAAATAGACAATGCTGGCAACCCCCGTTTGGGTTTTGGGTCTTAGGGTTTGGGGTTTAAGGCGGCAGAGAACGCTACGTAGAAATGGCGCCTGTACACACCCAGGGGTGTGGGGGGAGGGGGGGCGGGGCACCTTTTGCGAAAGCACATGCCATAGTAGAACTCCAACAGCCCGATTGGGTATATCGTTTTTCTTGAGCACGTCCGGGTTCGGGTCTGGGTGCGGCTCCGAGTGCCGAGTCCGGGTCCAGGGTCCGGGTCAGAATACGAGCTGCCAAAGAACAACCTCCCAACAACAATACGCGCTCCCACAGTGGTTGTGACGCACGTGGGCAGAATGCCCCCAAAAACCCTTCTGCAGGGAGGAGGCCTGACGCTGCTGGAGTTGGGGGCCCCAGGCCCCCTGAATTGTGAAGCCCGAAACCCTCGATCCTGACCTGTAGACGCTGGCCTTTGGAGGCCCAGTGGCCTCCCGGGAAGGGGTTTGGTAGTGAGCTTTGCCGGTGTCCCCCAGAGCAGCAGAAGGCCTAACGTCGCTGGTTTTAGGGTTTCTGAATAAGACTCCTGAATCGCAGAAGGGAGAAGGTGGCCGGCACCGGCGCGGAGGCGCAGTTCGGGCTCCACTCTGCTGTTAGAATTTAGGGTCTTAGGGTCTAATTTTCTCAACACAAAGCCAAGAGGCGGTTACGGCGTGCTCTCTTCTGCTCCTGGAAAGCAATAGTTTGGTACATAGGATTACGGCATTCCCGAATTAACGGGTCTTTCAAGGGGATAGATAGAAGACAAGGCAATTATATGCGCACCTCAAGAAAGCTGTGGGGGCCGCCTTAATGTATTGTCGTCCTACTCTTCGGCAAAAAACAAACCTTTTTGAAAGTAGAGGGCTTTTTTGGGGTCGCATTAGAAAGTCCCAATTGTAGGTCCCATGATTTGGGATGTAAGCACGCAAGTTCGGGCTCTGGGAATCGATTGCTTCAATGGCGTACACGTGCTCAGCGTAGTTGCAGGGCTTTAGGGCATGTCCCCTTCCCAAACGAATCTGGAACACCGCATGAACCCATTTCAGAAGGACAGCTGTCTGTCTTTGTAAAACTTACATGAAAGGTTGCATGTTTGATTGAGGGAATGTCGACTAATTTTTGTTGGATGAGGCGATCCACTACAAAGCGGCCCGCTAAAGACGTGCATTTATCCCAAACCTCTGACCAATGCTGTGCACCAGCAAGGAACACTGAACCCTCATTGCGAGGATTCCCCTAGCCCTACATTCTAAAACAAATGGCAGCGCCTAAGTACTAGAATGCAAGGAAACTCCTGAAATCTCAGCGCGAACTCCCAAATCCTAGATCCTGAACCCAAAGACCTGTCCCATGATGACCCATAAGGTCTGAATCCCACGCCTGAACCCTGATTCATAAACCCAAGCCCCGACTCTGACAATTTAACATTAAATCCTAAGGCGTGCATCCTGTACTAAAAGCCCATTACATGTGGCTAGCTTGCAGGTGGTAGTCTCCACTGTAGTCTCCTTAGACCTATAATATAAATAGTATTTTCAATATTTCTTTAGGGCTATGCTATAACAAATTAAAAACAACTCCTAAGGACAGTACAGTCCATACATCTTCCATAATGATCCTGTAAGTTCTGAGTAGTGTGGAAGCTGCTCACCTGAACTACTGTGAAAACCTGTAGGTTGCTTCAACTGGTTTAGGGTTTAGGGGCTTAGGGTTTAGGGTTGCATTCTGAAAACCCAAACCCCCAACCCTAAACCTTCAACGCTGAAACCCAAACTCCCAGCTCCCAACCGTAAACACTCAATCCTAAACGCCAAACCAAACCCAAACCCTCAATCCTGACACCAAACCTACAACCCTAAGCAACCCATTTAAGCCCTCAACCCTAACCCTAAGCCCACAACCCCAAACCTAAACCCACAACCCTAAGCAGCCTAAAGCCTTAAACCCTCAGCGTAAACCCCAAACCATAAGCCTGAGGCACCCGGCCTCGGCAACAGCGCGGGCAGAGATCGCTCCTCCCCGCTGGCGAGCCTCTCCAAAGCGTTAAAGATTTCTTGGGGGATGATCAAAGGATTTATCAGCACTTGGAATTTTAGGGTGTGGGGCCTGAAATCTTAGGATTCGGAAGGCTACTGAATGGTTGGAGCAAGGCCCTGAGACATATTATGCTAGACTGGCTTCAGGTTTTTTTGGATACCATCGGTACTTATTTTGGCTTATGGGCTCTTGGAATTTTCAATTTGGATTCCGTGTGAAATTGTTCTGGTTGTCCAGGCTGCGGGCTGAATGTGTACTGTATCAGTTTTGCCATGAGTTCCGGTGAGCCTAAATGACGTGGTATTAGTGCGCTGCAGGGATCTCTTCAAGGGGTGAAAAGCTTGAGGAGTAGGGATTCGGTAGGTTCTGGGGAGACATGAAGAGGTGGTTCTGTATAATCTCTGGGTCCCAGTCATCGTCCCTTCCCCGATCTTTTTGAAATACTTCGAAGCATGAACGCGGAGGTCAACAGCACCGTCCTTCAGGATCTACCGCGGCATCCGTGATGTGTTAATGCAGTGGTTTATGGTCGAAGGTATGAATGGGCGAAGCTATTGGACAAGCTCTCTGGGCCACCACAGTCTTGTTCGAGCGCCCAGTTGCCGAATGCTCTGCCGAAGGAAAGTTGATACCGGACGGGCCCTTGCTTGCCAACTATCTTAGTGCCACGCTGGCTTGAAGCGCCGCTGACTTGTTCTAAAGTCTGAGGCCTGTAACTGCACATTCTGCCCTATCTCCCAAAAGTTACAGCCGTCGACATGTGCGTAGCTGGAACATAAGCGCGCGGGCCAAATCTTTTGCTCACATTTGTGTAAGGCACGAGATCCTCGGGTAAACTGCTGTTCCTCACGGGCTCTACGTCTTCAAGCATGTAAGTTTGTATCCTACATACGCTGTTCTTGTCCGAGGCACGCATATGAGCTTTCAGAAAAACTCCCCGTACGGTTCGCACAGAATGTATGCGTACAAGCCTTCCTGGAGGAGTCTGGACTGTAGCTCATGTGGGCTCGTCATTAATCCCTTTGCAAGAGATGCTGCCAGTAGTTGGGAAGCAACTACGCACGTGGTAGCTCATAGCTCACGTCACTGGAGTCAAGTCTAACCTCCACCTGGTGCGACCCCAACAGGGGTCGCATCCAAGGCTTGCGGGAGATGAAAATTTGGCGGCGTAGCCCAAGGAAGATGCCCACTCCCTCAGAGAGGTGCGAAAATGGTCCTCGTCGTAGTTTCTAAGCAGGGCATCCATGGCGGTCTTCCCATCCTGGGTGTAGCTGAAGTTCCGCTGGATCTCATTCATGTCGACTGCGAACGGCCCAGCCACCCCGCTCTTCATCTTCTTCCACACCACCTGGCAAACTGTGTCCTTCAAAGGGAAGCTGACCGGAATCCTTCTGAACAGCATCTAGGAAAAATAACACAAGTCCCTAAAATTGAGCTGGTTTTACCCAAAAACAAACCATCAGCTGCCTCAGCGGTCTGATGAAAAAGCACCATTGCCGCATTTTGCCGCTTCAACTTTGCAAGCTTGTCTTCTTCAAGTTTCATTTTTTTGCAGAATTGAGGCATGTATATTCCATCCTCCACAATCCTTGGGTCCCATGCCCACAGACACCAACTATCAAGATCAAGCTGCGAGGGGAGGGAGAAAATGGGGTCACATGGAACAATCTTGTCGCACAGTACATGCTCATCTTAATCAAGAAACAAGAGAATGAAAGCTTGATCTGTTGCCACTTTTGGGGAGTATAAAAACTGTCTGAACACGGAACTATTCCCCTCATAGTATCCCTGCAAAAGCCTCTGTCATCATACTATTTTCATATTCCTAAAAACGACGCAGCCAAGTCTCTTGTCAGACTCGATATCTAGCCCGAAACGGTTCAGCTCACGGAGAACCGCCTCCTTCAAAGGGGTCGGTCAACAAAAGCAAAGGAACCCCGAACGCTGGCTTTCTGACATGAGGCCTTCCAAAATTGACGTCCCATTTTGAAAGTCACCTAACGCATTGGGGTCTATTTTGGTCTTACCTCTCGGAAGCCCGCATACCTATCAGGTGCTGAACGGTTGCTGTGGTTCTTTCCTTAGGGGCTTCCCCAAGACCTTGATCCATCTATTATTACTATTACTATTATTCCAAGAGAGCTCTAATTTGAGGGAGCTATGAGCTCCTTGGAGACCGTGGGCGGCAGGATGACCTTGCGATCACGGTGGTACTCAAGAACGTACTTGAAGAGATCCTGGTCGCCTGCGAAAAAGCTATGTTGCCCTTCGCGTGGAGAAAAATTATGGGGCCTTGAACCAACCCCTGTACTACCCAGTCTAAGGTCCTCCCTTCTCCTGCCGATTGCACCGTAACTTAGCTCCCAACAAGCCTAGAGAAGGCGGAGCTCAACAGGACCGACATTTCAAAAAAGACGACTGTGATTTCGAGATGGGTTGTGGGGCTCCACAAGGGGTTGGATCACCATGTAGGGTTCCGCGTGCTTTAGTATGAGTATTCTTCTAACTTTCAACCTCTATAGTGCCTTATACTGGATTGCTGTTAAGGAACTCAAACCAAGTTACTAAAAGAAGGAAACCCTATTACTTACTACATACCCATAGCACGGCAAACTAAGTTCCTCAACAGCAACCCATTAGAGCTCTAGAGGATGCTTCACAGAAAGCTTTTAGATTTCCTGGAATCCTGCTACATCACTCTGATCCCCCGGGGGGTAATCTGGGCTGCCGTTGAGGAACTTAAATTAAGCTAGCATGTTTATGTGTGCATGGTAAATCATCGGGCTTCCTTATTACAGAAACGTAATGTAAGTTCCTCAACAGCAACCCAGTAATGTAGAGAATGGCGCCCCAAACGGGCATACTCCAGGACTTGAAGCCGTTGTAATCTGTTGCTCAATGGACAGCAAATTAGTCCTCTAATAAACATGAAGTACATCAGAATTTATTGGAACTTATTAGGGGAAGTTATAGATTAGTAGAGGGGTGTACTTTGGCCGGTTTATTGGCTATTCAAATTAATTAAGGTCCTTCTTTGAATTTATTGATTTGAGCATGCTTATGTTTTGGGACGTTCCTCCTCACAAATTACAATTCCCATCACCTCTTCTGGTAGTTGCTACCATACGGGGAATAATCTAACTTGTAAATTGTACTTCGTCCCCACGAGAGCTAAGCCCCACCACCTGACCCTCTAAGTAGGAAGCATCCTCCGGGCCCAATTTAGGTAAGTTTGCGCTTGTGGCCCATTCAGTTCCAAAACGCTGGCCAAAGACGTGAGTATTGACCCTGCAATTGTTTAAGGTGAAGGGTCAGGGCCTGGCCGCTTAAAATTGGAATTGGCTCATGTGCAGTTTCTGGGGTTGGTCTAACTTGCATCAAACTTAACGCGGACAAGGCTGAGGCCGCCCCAAAGCCTTAACCACAGACACCACAGAGACGTCCCAAAACAAGACAGCGACCTCCGACTCAAAACGTCCCAAGGCAACTACCAAGAGTATCTCAAAACGGACCCCCTGATCATATGGCAATCTTATGGTATGACCACAACGCATGTTATTAGCCCCAGTATGGGATCCCTGAGATCAAATTGGCTAGCAATCCCAAATCCCCGAACCCTAGACCCTGGGCAGGCCCTTCCCATGCCTTCCACAAAGATTTCCTTCTCGTTTTGCTTTTCGTCTGCCAGCTGTTTTAGAAGTGAATTGGGATGCAAGCTGAGCGTAGGCTCCCTCAACACGGTGTAGATCTTTCCGCTGACGTTGAAGGTGACGAGATCTGACGCCGTAGCCATTGACGTGTGGAACGGCAAGTGGCACTCGGAAACTTCTCTTGCTCAGAATGCCACTTCAGACAAACATGCTGCTAATGGTCTTGGCTCTGTGCAGGACTTCAGGATGCAATGCAGCTGACGTAGCTACACAAAATGTGCATATGATGCAGTTGGAAGTCACTCAAAGTAGCGAACATACTTGTAATAAAATTACGTCACCTGGAGTCTCCCAAGCTGCTTTCTAAGGTGGCATGCTGCATATTTTGCAGCCATCTGAAGCAAAGGATTCGAAGCCAGGAAATGTAATTCGCACGTTACTCAAGACTGAGAGGCCTACACGCTTCCAAAATATGGAACCTTCAGCGCACTTGGAGCGGCAATGCTGCGAAGGCGTACATATGCCCGACATATACCTTTGCAGAAATTTGGACTTGTAACGCGGTCAGGCGATAGCAAACTAAGTTGTGAGGTTATCCAAGTACAGGGTTACTCCATTCCCCAAATACGATCAGCTTCCCTGCAGAAGAAGGACCCATGATTGTGCGAAATCTCCTCAATGACGTTCATAATCCCCAAAAGCGCCATGCTACCGATGTAAAGCACCATCGAAAGGAGCCCAAGGGGACTCCGCGAACCCATAGACAATTCCCAATCATAGCCCAATGCCTTGCGTCAGCCAGCTCATGCTGGCAAAACATGTAGCTAAAGATGCAGTGCAAATTGGGGATAGCCGTAGAGTTTCCAGTAATTAGTTGAAGGCTAGGGCTTAGGGCTTTGCAGCCAAGACTTTCAGTTTCAGTGCGCAGGCTGCCCCATACGAGACACCACGCACTTTCCTTTCGTGGTAAGGTCCCATTCGCAGGCTTCGCATATGAAGTTGCAGCAGGCTGCGCAGGATGTGGTGCCATTCGCCATTTTGGAATGACAGAAGGAGTGACGGTAAAACCACTGCGACGGATGGACAAAATCCTGCAGGACACTGGGTGTGCCAGTCTGAGAACCTAATCCAGACTCCAGTCTGGTACTTCGAGGGTCAAGGTGACTTACTCAGTAGGTTAGTAGCCCTTATGAACCACGTAGTAGCCATAAACCCTAAACCCTAAACCCTGAAGAAACCATACTCCCAGGAACTTTTTGGACCCCCACTATCTGGTGCCCCACGACTGTTGAGGCCATATTCCTTCGCTAGTTTTGGGTCTATATGGGTAGCGGGGTACCAGTTAGTGGAATTCCTGGGAGTCCCTAGGACATACTTATCCCCAATATTAATCTACTTCTTGAATCCCCCTGACCATCCAAGTAATGTAGTAAACTGGGTCAACGGCTTGGGGTTTAGGGTTTAAGGGTGTAGGTGTGGGCGATAATATTAATCATGATTTTCTTACATCTGCTATTCGGTTTCAGAATACTACAGCTCAAAAAGATGCTTCAACTTTGACCCAGAAAATTAGCTTCCACAATGCTTCTGGTTCATCACTCTCTGAGCAGACATGTCTTGGCTGCTACAAAGCATAGCTAGGACTGGGTGGTATTGTGCAGAACCAAACGTCATTTAATAATAGGTTCCCCAAAGTCAAAAGTGCCAGCAGGATAAGCGTCGGATTACTTGCACAAGTAATTGACACTACATAATTGTGCCTTGAATTTTGTGAAGTAGTTGAAGCACTGCAGAAGAGGCCTTCAACAAAATGGTAGATCCGCACTCCCAAAAAATCCGGGGTGCAGGCCCGCTGTTGGCTTCGTATTCTCGACAAAGCAGACAGGGAACTCTTGAGGTCTTTGCCGGGGACTACCTGTGGTTTATTTGGACTAAGCTCCATGAACCGCGACTATGTGCCGGACTCCCTTCACCTGACCCCTGCTTAGCAAGGAAAAATCAAGGAATGGATCCCTTTTTTCGGCCTTGCTTCATTCCCTGCTGACCATAGGTAAGTTATCTGAAGCCCTAAACACTAAACCAAGGGTACCCGGCTGAGCGACCTCGTAGCCATCGAGCTGCCGCTGGCACTGCCGGTGCCTTTCCTGGCTTCATTCAGCTTAGCTTGAGTAGGTGCAAGGGAGATTGTTCTAAAGGTCCTGTTAAAGAGTGGACCATTCTGAATATGCTCCTTGAAGGAACTAGACCCCAACCAACAAGAGAATTTACCTCATGGCAGTTTTGGGGACGGGTACGTTGAATAACCACCATATGTTTTGTTGAAGCGAGTGCATCGATCAGAGTTTTGGAATTGCTGAAGGCTTCTTACACGGCTGAATGTCTTAGAGTCCGTTTCAGACAACATAGGGAGTGCCGTCAAAATTGTGATCTATTTTTGGATCCCAATTAGAATGCGGCCTCTAAAATTAGGGTACCAGAAAGAGGGGCCGTGATTTTGACAGCCCCCAAATAGCTAGCTTAACTAGCTTGCAGATGGAAGGCCCCAACCTGCAAGGAGGCTCCTGAACGCTGAACCCCATGACTCTCCGGCATGTCTTAGCCCTTGAGCCATGTGGGGGTTTCCCGAAATTAGGGATACCATTTTGGGGGTCCTTATAATAAGGCCTATAGTATTTGCGGGTTTATATTAGGGCCGCGTATTTTGGGGAACTACCATGTATAGAAACAGCGGGACACACAGCCAGCAACATAAGCACATAAGCTCTGCACAGCAAACTTCATTAGGGACACTGTCGGGTGGCAGGAATTATTGGACGTCATCATGACTTATATAGGCCCGTGTCCTCATTTGCGAGCCTCCTTTTCCTAAAAAAATACACAGTTTTCAACCTGAAGCCCTGCAACCCAACCACTCACTAAGGAAGCAAATCTGGAGCCCTCACTGCAATACGCTCTCGCCCCTAATTTAACGGAAAGATCAACTCGCAAAGTTTAAATGAGGCTTGCAACATGTTCAGCTGGCTGTTCCAGTTTTGCCGCTGCTGCTGTAGCAGAAGCTACTGCTGTTGCTGCTACCACCACCAACACCACTGCCACTGCCACTACGACTACCGCCGCGACAGCAACAATTGTTACTCTTGGTAGCCCAGTAACCATATTGCAATAAGGGTACCCTTTTTTCTGTTGGTAAATTATATATGGGAACCCAGAACCAAAAAAGGGTAAAAGGGTACCACTGGGGTTCCTAGTACTACAAGTACTACTAACGATGCTACTGCTCCAACAGTTGGACCTGGCTTCATCATCTGTATGGGAGTTTCTCACATGGGCTGGCCCTTAGGAACACTGGAAATCTATAGAGAGTGTAACAGGATTGCGTGGGTCCCTCTTTAAGGGCATTTAGGGCGCAGGTTAAGAAACTCCCTTTTCGCTTATGCTTCATCATCTGGTCTCCTTCTGCTACTAGAGCACCATCATTGCACCTGTTATTGCTGCTAGTATGTCTTCGGCCTTCGACATCACTATTGGGGCTTAAGTTACCGTGTGTGCTTCGGTACCATGACTCTCACCATCATGAAGCACTGTCTTTACTAGCGTCAGCCTGACGGCAGCATGGTTCATGGTCTAGGATGTAAAGCCGTCTTCAGAAATGCTAGAGCCCTACACCCTAAACCTGTTTGGCATCTACTGCTTATGACTCCAAGCTAACTTGCTCTCACGAAAACGCTAAACAGCCCAAGCAGTGAAACCCCTACCCACTAAAATGGGTTGCTGCTAAGGAACTTAGTTTAAGTTACCATATGATGAGTATGTAGCAAATAACGGGGCTTCCTTATTGTAGTAATTTAGAACAAGTTCCGAGTAAGCCTACATGACTTGGACGGAAACTGTCTAAGTTCTACATTCCCTGAAAAACCCAGACGTCGCGGTGTTTAGGTCCTCGAGGTTTCGCTCAAACAGTAGCTCATCCTCAGTGGAGCGACCATCATTCTTCAGGAAGCCCACTAAAGGGGACTCCATATACAGGGTCCCATGTTCCAAATACGTGTCCCAAAAAGGCCATAATGTAGGTTCCCTGTTTGGTTCGGATCCCCTTTTCAGGAAGCGTGTTTTCGTTGGTCCCTTCTTTACAGGGAGACATTCCTGCCTGTGGAGATTGTAGGATTCGTGGCGTAGATAAGACTGGAATCAAACAAGTGAGTTAGGCTACATGCGGGTTCCGGGATAACGGCCAACCCGTAAGGCTTCTCATCTGCCACTTGAAAATATCAAGGGCTCCGTGGCAAGCTAGAATCTGGCCCAAGAGTCTTCGCCAGTCCAGCATCTGCTTACTGACTGCAGGGACCGCTGAAGACATAAGCGTACCTCAACCGCAGAAGATAAATCTTTCAAACATGAACCGGCTTTAGAGGAACCATGAAACGCGCATGAAACCATCCCAAGCGCATAAACGCTGAGCTCAAACCCCTAACCGAAGATCTTACAGCCTGCTAGACCGCGTCTCTTGGAAAAGCAACTATTCCTTTCCCTGCAACGGACATGCCCTAAATCCCAGAAAATCTGCAAACGTTCCTGATTGCACCCATCACTAGCCTCTGTGTACCCCCTCAAACCAACAAAACCTTCAATTCCAAACTCCCTAACTCAACGGCACCCCGAATAGCAACACATTCTGTTCTCAAAGCTTTGAACCATGAATCCTGGCCCCCCAAGCCTTGGTACCCAACTCCTCAGCCGCGTTTTGAACTCCTCAAGATCCCTTAAAATCCCTGAGCTCTCCGCCACAAGTCCTAGGCTCTAAGCCCTAAAAGTCCTAAAGCCCCAAAGCCTCAAACCATCAGCGCCCCCTAACTTACTGGATCTTAGTAGGGAATGGAGGGGATGTAATCCCTATACAATCTTTACTGAATAATCCCTATATAGTATATTCCCTACTAACCCCCAGTAAGCTAAGCCCTGACGAGTCTCCCTTCTGGCAGACGCTGCTTCCGCCTCCGCCAACTCGGCTGTCAGGGTGGCATTGGCAGCCTGGCTAAGCTCCCTCCCCCTTCAAACAAAGCCACTTACATTAAATATTTCCAATACATTCTAATATACCACAATATGTGGAAAATGATATTGGGGGCCCACCCCTTATTCTAGGATGGGTTTGGGGACCCTCGAAACATCATTTTTTATCGCCTGATGAGGATTATTTAGGGAGCAAGGGCAGCACAGATCAACATGATTTCCAACCTAACCTACACCCTTCATGCTGCATTGTCTCAATAGAAGACCAGTATATAATGGTGGGAATACCTTCTGGGTAGAAGGCGGGCGTCCTTGGGTTCACAGGTTTAGGGTCTAGGATCGGGGTGTGGGTGTGGAGATTTCTGGGTTTAGGATTTGAGGGTCTATGGCTCAAGTGGAGTGGAGGGTGGAGAATGGAGAATGGAGTGTGTGGAAAGGGGCATGTGGAGAATGGAGGGTGGATGGAGTGAACAGTGTAGAGTGGAGAATGGACGGTGGAGAGTGGAGTGGAAAGTTGATAGAGTTGCGAGTGCAGAGTGGAGACTGGACAGTGGAGCGTTCCTGTGCAGGGTGTACGCATTGGAGTTGAGGGTCTGGGGTGTCAAGGATTCCCCTACACCATGAACCCTAATTCCTATTACTAAACCCTGACCCTCTAGTAATCCTTTTTGTGGAGCTCTACATTCTGTGCCCTTGAAAGACTAAATCCTTGCACCCGGATGCAAAAACAGCCCAATGCTTCCCTCTTAGTACGCAACAGAAGCATCGATCTTCTTTCTAGAAAGTCATCCAAGCTCCCCAGAAGAATCCAGGTAAAGGCAAGTGACCCGTTCTAATCAAGAGGAAGCCCCAAGAATTAAGAGTAGTGCGCAGGTACTCTAATATATCCAAGCTCATATCTAAGCTCTCTTTACTGCCCTACAGGAAAAGTGCGGGGCTAAGGTCGTAGTAAACTTCGGTAAAGATACCAAGGGTGGGGTGGGAGTGTTTGGTTTTGGCAGCGGAGTATTCCTTCAACCCTATACCCTCAATTTCCAGCCCTGGTTTCATTTGGTGGTCCCCGCCCGTTGGACACTCAGTATATCCGCTCATCATGACTCCTGACGAACCCTATATACACACACCGAAGACCACAGCAAAAGCCTTAATTGACATACCCTAATCGCTAAAAACCATTACAGACCCCCAGCTTCCATCTAATTTTCCATTCTGTTTTGCATGTGACTCTCCATTACTGAGTATACTCCTTGAAGCCTCTAAAACCTAAACCCATGAACTCCCGCAAGGGCTCCTAAACCCTAAGAATTCGAGGGGTTCACCTTCAGGTTTGTGTAGGTACTGCCCCTAATCCCTGAACCCTAAAGGACCTCCTCCGCGCGCAGCTCTGAGCGTGCCGCCTCCAGCTGACTGCAAAGCAGAGCCTCAGCTTTGCATGGAGTCTGTGGTGAGTTCCCCAAAATTGGGTCGCTTTCGGGTACCCCTCAAGATAAGATGCCGTAATATAATCTATAACGCAAAGGAGCCCCCAATTTGGAGAACCTCTCCATGTGATTGAGGGGTTCAAGGTTGGTTTTTAGATGCAACGTATAGGGATTTAGGGCATAAGGGCTTTTGGATGTGGGTATCGGATGAGACAGGAGGAGCACCATTCATGGCCAGATTGATAGTATCCTTCAGAAGCCTCAACACTTTAACCCCAGACCCCAAACGCGCTTAGTCCCTCAACCTACCCAACACTGAAGTGGGTAGCGCAGTCCCTACAGGGTGCCAATAACCGTTTTGGGCAGACTGCTTCTACACCAGAAGAAGGATGACTACCCAACACGGCAGGAATTGTACTGCTAGCTCAACATTCTATATCCATCAAGCTGCAAGTGTATGTCCGTCAGTGCGGCGACACCCCGGACAAAACTTTCCTCAAGGAAACCTTGGCGTTGCTTGCCAACCCCCATCGGGAATCCAATGTAATCAGAAGCTCACACACACCCTTTCAGGATAGCCCTCCTCCAGACCGTGGTTTGAACAGCGCCTCTACCAAGTCCTCAGGACTCTACAAGAACAGACGTGGAAAGCCTATTTGAAGGCGGACTGCACCTTTGGGGTACGCATGGCACACACGAAGTCATTTTGCAGCTTCGCAGCGTGGGCATCCGGCTCTATGGGGTATTGGGCCTGGCAAGGTTTGAACGTCTGGGAGTGCGACTTCGGGTTGGGCTCTGAAGTCATGATTACCTCCCTCATGGAATCTGGGGAGTTTCCCAAACCTAGGGGTACCATTTTGGGCGTCCCAAAAATGAGGACTATAGTATTTTGGGGTCTATATTCGTGTCCCTTCTTCATGGAAACTATTACGTGGCTTGGGCCAAATTAGGAGACGTTTCCCTGCTGGTACTTACTGGGGGCTCTTCTGGCCTGGGGACCGTCCTGTGACGTAGTAGTAATTAATAATGATGCCAATAATGGAAATAAGAATATAATAACAATAAATACCAGAAACAGCAACAATGATGGCAATAGTAACAGTAGCAGCAATATTAGGTTTTGATTCGGGTGCCAGGAGGTCTAAGGATTTGCTTGTTTTTCTTGATTGCTCTTTCACGATTGAACTTCTGAAGTTTGCCACATTGAGAAATCATAGATGCATGTAGGATTTGGGGCTTCAGGTATTGTATGCAAGGTTCGGGGCACAATCACAACAAGTGTTTGTCTTATCTCCATGGGGCGCATGTAATCTTGGACCTTTTGCAGCGCGGACGGGGGGACAAGATATTTGATGAGCCCAAAGGCTACAACCAGGTGGGGGGTATTGCGGTGCAATGAACCCTTGCACTGCCTTAAGCTCAAGGCTTGAACTTGCAGGATAAGTTTTGATGCCCTGGATTAATGAGTTAATGATAGGCATTGTGGGTGTGGGGCTTTAGCACTCGACGTCTCTTCTGGATCTCCGAATTACGAAGGTGACCGCTAATGCTGACTTTTGTTTCTGTTTAAATTTTTGCTATGGCGGCAGCCCCATACGGTTTCCATCGTGACGGCTTCCAAGGTTTAAGCGGACATTCTTCCACCCCTCAACCAACCCCATACGGAATCAAAGCCTCGCGCAACAGCCTGATTTTGCACACAATATGTTGATGAAAGCCGTGGCACTATGAGTCCTGAAGTACAGAATAGCGCGCAGCCAGCAATACCCCAAGCCAATGCTTTCAGCACCCTACTGAAGCTAAAGGGGGAGTTGGGGAGTGAATACAGGTAACTTTAAAGGGGTACATGTTATATATAAGGTTTATATAGGGATCATGATAAGCAAGCCCTAAACCCCAAACCCCAAAGTGCTATTGGAATCCACTCCCCCACTGTCCCTTTAACGCCAGGAAGGCATGCACAAAGACAAGCTGCGACCTTGCAAACGTGGGATTTCCCACAATTAGGGATACCATTTACGGGATTGAGGTCTAGGGTGTAGGGTTTAGGGTTCAGGCTTTAGGGTTTAAGGTTTAGGGTATAATGAGTATTTTGGAGTCTACATGACAGTTCCCCTATTTTGGGAAGCTACCATGTACCCATACGACAAACCCCACACCCGAACTTCCAATCGCTATAACCTTAAACCCGAAACCTTTAAACCCCTAACCCATAAGCTTTATACCCTAAACCCCAAACCCTAAACCCCGAGCCCTAAAACCCTACACCCCTACACCCTAAAACGCCAAACTAGTAGCTTCCACTTTCTGTTCCAGTATCCCTATATAACCCCTATCTACTTAATTAAACCCTATAATCCCCCTTAAGTGGATAGAATATGTGGTATATGGAGATCTTATATAAACCTTATAAAAACCCTACGAGCCCTACAAGCCCTGCGCCACGCCTGTTGCTCTTCCGCTGCCATGAGCTCGGACCTTGCTCTGTAGGGGTTTTTAGGTTTTAGGATTTAGGGTTTAGGGGTTTAGGGGTTTAGGGGCTTCCAAAAATTGGGGGGTTCCTTTAGGGGTTTTCCAAAATCAGGGGTTCCTTTAGGGGCTTAGGGTTTAGGGCGTTGAAGCAAGCTCTAGGGGACGAAATATGTGACACTATAAAAAGGATTGTAATACTCTGAGGCTTGTCAGAGGGGCTTGGGTTAGGGGAAACCCTGATGATGAAAAGCCTGGAATCCACCAACCTCAAACCGACCAAAAACCCCAATCCCGACCCTCCCTCAAGCAAACATGGAAGCCCATACACACCCCTTCCAAAAGGACCGTAATCTTGGTAGGGCCCCCTTTGGGATTGCAGGTGATGTTGTGGAGAGTAAATCCTTGATCCACCCCCAAATGTGGTCGAAGGAGCTGGTAGTTCTTCAGCTCCATCAGCAGCTGCTCTGTGTACTTGCAATCCTGCGCTCTCAAGGAGTGCGGAGCTTTCGAGTGCCAGCTTCGTTAGGCTTAAGGGGTGCCCCGACAGAGGTTGGGGTTCAGGATTTGCAGGGCTTGGGGATGTCGTCTCTCAAACAAGGACGCCCTTCAGGATCATAAAGACACATAGGGGCTTCTTGGTGGGATGGCCAGGCATTCCTCAATTCCAAATTCCTTCCGTGAAGGTGTGCCGAGGTTACATCGAATCTAGGGTCAAGGCCTGAGGTTGTACTCTGCCTTCACTAGCAGGAAGGACCCTCTTCTTTATCATACTAAAACTTTTCCTGATACTCTTGGCCCAGTAGTTTGCAAGGAGTCTGCTATTGGAGGGAAACGCCTTATTGCAGAGAAGTTGCTTACCCGCACTCCCTTTGGTGAGGCTCCCAGGACGATGCAAGCATGATCCCTGATAACGGATCTCATATGAACTATAGTCTGAACTCCTAGCATCCCCCTTAATAATCACTATAATTGTCCCCTATGTAATCCCCTGTATAAGATCCGTTTAAGGAGTTTAGACTCTAGCTCAGACAAACTATGAGGCAAAGCCTAAACCCCAGCCCAAACCGCTTTTGCCTCCTAAGGCAGCCAGTCTCCTCCTCGCGCTCAGAAAAGGCACGCTGCAATTTGGCAGCGGTCTCCTCAGGGCGTTACTTTGAGGGAACGTGGACTTACGGAAGGTTTAGGGTTTAGAGAATACACCCTGAACAAGCCCATTACAACCGTACTGAAACCCTTTAAAAGTAATCAGGTTACAAGAGCCATTAGTAACGCCAGGGTCCCAGTAGGGCTTCTGGGGCTTTAGGATTTCAGCGCCTGGGGATGAGGGCTTTAGGGGTTTAGGGGTTAGGGTCTTAGGGTTTGTGCGTTTAGGATTTGGGCGTTTGAGGGTTTAGAGATCAGGGTGTAGGGGTTCGGGCTTTAGGGGTTTAATGACCGAGGGTTTAGGCTTTTACGCTTCGAAGGTCTAGGAATTGGGTTTTTAAGCTTCGAAGAGGTTACATTGTGCAGGGTTTAAGTTTCAGCCATTATATTGGAATGCCTGAAGCGAGGTTGTGGCTTCTAGGCTTTCTGAGGCACATCCTCGTTGTTGCCAGCCCTTTTGTTGCGTAGCATTGCTTGGCGAGCCCAGGTTCTTGTCAGGAGCACATTGATCCACAGGGGATATGTAGGAACAGAAAATGAAGTGGACACTGGGATCACGTAGATATTTATGGTGTAAGGGCTAGGCAGGCTAGAACCTGGATACGATTCATGTGTTTTCCTATCTAGCACAGACCCAAGCATTCAAGCTAAACCTTAGCCCACGGATCTGAAACCAAATATCCTGCTGCTTGGCGATCAGCGACTTGTGCGTTCGCATTTGTGCCTGCTTTTGCACCTCGCAGGGAGGACTCTTAGGGCTTAGGGCTGGGTAGTGGGTTGGAGGCTTAAGTAGGCAGGGTTACGTATACCACCACAAGAAATCAAATGGTTTTCATATCCCCAACATCCGGTAGTTGCCAGCTTTATCATCTGCACCCCTTGCTCAGAACTCACTGACCCTGCTGGAGGGATCCCAAGTCGTTGCAGGGTTGGACGACAGGAGTACCCGGACCCCCGAAAGTCCGAAAGTATCCCCAAGCATGGAACCTGCCAAGAATCCATTCATTTCCCCGATTTAGAATGGGGGTATTTTGGAAGTGTTCCACTGATTGAGTTTGTAAGGGACAGGCAAAATACACTATATAGGGGCTAGAAAAAAGGATCATATTTCATTGTTGCCTACTAAGCACCAGTAAGTCACGGATTTGGTTTTGCAGTGTAGGGGCTACAGTTCAGGGATTGGGTTTGAAGGGCTAGTGTTTAGGAATGCTGGCTGAGGATTTTGAATGCAGGCTGAGGATTTTGAAGCAGGGATATGGCTTAGGGATCGGGAGTTTTGGGGGGAGGTTCCAGGACTCAGTTTGAGGGTTGGTGCGGTTTTGGGTTCAGGTAGTGGTGGCATCAAGGCTTTGGGCTGAGGAATTTTAGGGGTTCAGGGATTATTATTGAGTACGGCTGGATTTTCGGGGTACGGGATTGGGGACTTCATGGTTCAGTGTCCAAGTTGCGCGGTGCAGTGTTGTGGAATATGAGCTATAATCTAAACTCCTAGTATCCCCCTTAATAACCCCTATAATACTCCCCTATATAATCCCCTATAGAAACTCCCCTAAGGAGTTTAGATTACTGCTCATATGGTTTTGGGGTTTGGGTTTGCAGCGCAGTTTCAGGAATTCTCAACTGTTGTTCAGCCTTTGTCATACTGTTGCCCGGTTGAGGACCCTAGAGGACTTGCGACTTGCACGTGAAATCCTACTCCTAAGCCCGAATCCCTAAACCCCAAACCCTTTGTTGCAACACCGTCTGGGCCAATTGGGGCCGCCTGTTGAAGAAGCTACTCGTTTGTGCTTTTTTTGTTTCAGTGCCATGCCCGGTAATTTCTTCACCACCCAACCAATAATAATGAATGCCCCCACTTTACTGCCAGGAAAGGATGGGCGGATGGTGACAAGGGTGTGAATCTTAGGGGGGTTGATTAGCAAGCGTGCTGGAGTCACAACCAGGCAGTTTTTCTCTCCGTGCTTTCTAAACCAAGACTTGCATCAGTACCCAAACTCCTGTAAAGGATCCCAAATCTGAATACCGCTCTCCAACCTCAGCACTTCTCGCATTCTGCTTCGAAGCTGACACCTCTTCTCTACGGGTCATGGGCAGAAGTTTAGGATTTCTGGATGAGGATTTAGGAGTTCTTGATTGAGGTTTGGGAATTTGGGCTTTAAGGTTTATGTGATCAGCACTTAGGAGCTAGGATCTGGGGGCTTGGGTTGAGGGTCGAGGGCTTAGGATGTACGAGTAGGGGTCATGATTTGGAGTTTGGTTTGGGGTTTTTCAGTTCCTTAATCCCTATATTCCCCCAGTTTCCATTTCATTTTCCATTTTCTTTTCCATTTGATTCTCCATTATAGGGGGATAATCCCTTAAACCCTA